ACAGATCGGGCTGCAGTGCACTGGAATAATGATAAGTTCATGGCTATTTAATGTTTGTTTAAGTAATCTAAAACAGCAAAAGGAACACGTAATAAAAAAATAAATACTGTGTTGCTTTAAACAGATTTATTGCCTATGGCACACTTAAACATGGGCAATCAGTATGACAGAATGTCAAACTCTATAAACATTTATATAGAAATTATATATAATACATGATCTAGTCTTGCGTAATGAAGGAAGGAACTCATGGTGCCAAATTATGATTGTAAAGCAGTGTATATACTACATGGGTAAGCATTGATTTTATTAGAGCCCTTAGGGTGTTCTTCTAAAGCTCTCCCCCCTCTCTTAAAGGGACACTCCACTGCCCAAATTTTAAAAAAATCACATTTAAGTACATTTGCCCCAAATGAAAACATGCATGCATTTAATTATACATTTGTCATTGGGAGCATATCTAAAATAGATTGCAAAACCTGCAGATCTCTTGTATGCAGCCTTTGCAAGCACTCCCCTTCCAACCAAGCCCAGAGGTTGTCCAATCCTAGACATCCAATGCAGCTCAATGAGAAGACATTGCAAGGCAGTTGCTCTGGGAAATCGCTGCCTCTTGAGTTTAGCTCCACTGAGCTAATCAAACCAGGAAGTAACAAGACCAGTAGTCTGCTCGAAAGCCTGGGAAAGTAACCCTGTTAATTTATAAAAATGTACATTTTCTAATGTAATGAAATGTGCACATTTTGTAAAATGAAAAAAGAGGACACGTTCTTCTGCTATTCTCTTAAAAAAAAAAAGCATTTTAGCAGCTTAAAGTGCTTAAGGTGTCCGTAGGGTCCCTTTAAATTAGACATCTGGTCATTCTTGCAGTGAGGTGTTAAACACCCCGTTGTGCCTATCAGATGTTCTCTATGACACAATCTAATAGAAATAGTTAAACTTTACTCGGTTACTACTGTGAAAGCACCTTGTGTGGCTGTCAATATGATAACCACTAGATGTATTTAAACCCATGTTTTCACTTGCAGGGTTATAAAGGAGGGAACATGGCACCCAGACACTTTTATTGAGATGAAGAGGTCTCAGTGCCTATAGTGTCTCTTTAACTCATAAATAGCAGGGAGCTGAGCAGTGAGACTGCGGGGGCATTAAATCCACCAAAACAACGTCATTCTCACGGTAGGGGGTGATAACGTAGAACTTGCACCAAAACCCGACTTATATAGATGCATATAAAAAAATAGGGGAGTATCTGCTAAACCAACAGAAAGTAAAACAACATAGCGTATAACTGTGTGGATAATAGTTGATGTAATGACTCAAAGTCACCGCTAGGCATCCTACACGTTTTGTCTGTGTTAGGGACTTAGACTGTCATTTATTTGGATTGTTTTATATAGTATTTTTATTACTTTTTTTGTTTATTGTAATACAATTAATACCTTTTAAATTTAATTTATTTTGAATTTATTTCGGATTGCTACCTTATTTATTCTGGCTTCCTGACCTATATACAGGTGGGGATGCTACCACCATAGCGCTTCTATACTAGAGCAGGTCCGCGCTCTAGTTCATGTGAGTCGGATACTTATTTATGTATAGGCACAATTTATTGTACATGTTGCACTATTTGATACCACCACCACCATTGCTGAATATATATATAATGAGACAGGGATTGTACCGTCTACGCCTAATACAGCAGAGCTCTTTGTAGCTCTACAAATTGTGAGCTTTCACTACAGCACTTTATTTTATTTATTCTTAAGGACATATTGCACTATTATTGTTTCCCCCTTTTTCCCCTTTCTCTGAGATACAACGGATAAAGATTCCACAGACATATGTACAAATACATATTTTATTTGTGACCTCACTTATGGGCTACATTGTTTCTTAGGCGCCGTCATCTATTTTTTGTTTTTTGCCTCATCCACTATTTTAGACCTATATGTTAGTCAATAAAAATTTTTTAACTACTTACTCTATTTGCACTACAGTTTTATTTTCTCTTCTGAGTACATGATCTTCAGCCAACATATGGTGATCTGAAAGCATCCAGAAGACTAAATGCTTTGAGGGGAATTACAGACAAGGCACTTTTACTCCACTGAAATTGTGAGTGACCAATTGGGATTTTACTATTTGGCACATTATCCACACAGTTATCTGCAATGTTGTTTTGGTTCCTGTTGGTTTATATCCCTATTTTTGTATACATATATTGTGGTAGACAAGACGAAGTCTTCGGAGTACCTTTGACGCTTCTCCTGGTACAGGGAAGTTTCTTCTCTGTTATTATTTGATTTGCACTGAATGAATTTTGGTTTGTGAACAAAAAATATCTATTTTTGGAAATTGCACTTTTATATAGATGCAGACAGGAAGCACTTTACCAGTCCTTAGAAATGGCCAGATTTAATGCACAAAAGGCAACAGAATAGTTAGGGTAAGCCAAGGTCAAGGACAGGAGAGGCACTCAATAAAGTTAAACTGCGTAACAGACAGAATAGTCAGGACATTCAGCTCAAAATCGAGAGAATCACAATACATCAAGAACATGCTATTGGGACAATAGACACCGTAACAGGGCACTGTATACTGGTCAGACTGAAGTATTTATATGATCAGGGCATGTGACATCATTAACATCACCTCCACACGGCCAAATAGTGATTCGGTGTTGCAAATGATATACATTTATGCCACGTGTCATGATGTTGACGCACTGACGTTGTGTCATAAATAGAAGCATCAGAATTGTTGCCAGAGCATCCAGAGGCTCTGAGGATTGCATGGGGTCGGGTGTGTGAAAATGGAGTGTGGCACAACTGTGAGCAGGATAGGGAGAGTATTGTGACTTTTATTAAGCTTAACATGCTTACTGGGAAAAACAGGCAGGAAAGGATAACCTGACATGATAACCTGGCAAGGAGGGGCTTGAAAATAGGACTGAGAGAAAAATAGACAGATTGGAATAAAATGAGACCTAAAATAAAAAGAGTATAGAAAGCACTAAAAATGCAGCAATCACCATGGAAACCAGTAGATCAGCACACACATTCCATTGGTGACTCCTCCCCTTTTACATCTTTGCACCACTTTTCAGAACACCAACACGTTGATATATCTTCCGAGTGTATTATACATTTATCACGGGTTCGCTAGTCAATTGTCATTATTCCTTCGATCCTCCACTAGTCCTAGTTCCAGATGTACTGCATAGAGTGCTGTTGCTATTGCTATAGTTTTCCCAATATAATGGACGCAACCAGTGGTATTGGGTAGAAAATCAATCTGAATCTTTATTAGGCCACACTCGGCTTTTTATACAATGCCCCTAGCATGGGGTTTCCAAGACAAAATCACAGGTTTCCTTCCCAATTAAGATAACTCAATAACCTCTCAAATAAGAAAACCTACATACAATTTTAACATATCACGAAAATACATGAAAACAGTACAGGTACCCCACAAAAGTCATATTCCCGAATAGCCCCGATCTGAGCGCACAACATATCCAAAAAGCGATCAGATCAGTTCTGTAAAACGAGTTATGTTTGAATAAAGTTTTAACCGACCGGCCATGAGGTGGTAGCCCAAAACAGTTCCACAGAATTGGTCAGATTGGCCGGTCGACTTTTGGGGGTTCCTGTGCGTACACTTACGAACACTTCCCCTAGCTGTTAAGAAATAATGCTTCCCTTGTTCAGTAGTTCCTTATTCCCAAATGTCTTTCTCCTAGCTGGTCGGGAAGTCGAACAGGCAGTGGTATAAGTTTCTGTGGGGTTCATGAGCTCACGTAGCCGACTCAGAGATCCATGCAGTCGACAACCATGTACCGCTGCCTGCATTAGGGAGTCAAGATGGCCGCCAGTCCTGATAGCACATGTGTTTGTATATGCGAATGGCGCCACCCAGGGAAGCACTTGAGGTGATTTCTCGTTTGTGGTTAACATTCAGGTGATCAGTGATTACGAGGTGTTAACAAGGGGGACTTCACAGTCTGTTTGGTAACCAAACAGAAGGGAACGGATAGCCGAACACAAGAGAACAATTATCTGGTAGTGATTCCATTTGATTGCAGGTGGATATCAGACGAACAAAGTCAACATAAGGGAACACGTACGAGGAGTCCTATCTCCCGTGACAACATTCATATGTGCAATACTGCATCCTTGCATTATCTAGTATATTTGTATTTACAATACTGCATTCTTGCCTTATCTACTATTTTATCAGTTAATTACAAACAAGAAAAAGCTGTGACTCCCATATTAACAAGCCCTTGGGTCAATGACCTACAGAGCTCTATGTGAATTGCCTTGTCTGGTAACCAGCAATCTATTGCAAAGTCACATTCTTCTGGCCACAAATGAGTTAATGCATAAAACATTTTAAAAAAATGAACATTCATGTTAAAAATGGATGTCATTTGCATGCAATCTGTTAAGGTGCAAATATCTTGTTAGAAAGAATAGCGCTGGTCAAAATATTATGCTATAAATTTTACAGTTTACATTTATCATGCTTTTATATACAGCGGAAACATTCATTTTAGAACACACTTCACATTAAAAAAAAAATAGAATTTACACAAAAGGTTATTTACTATTTAGCACATGCTGCGACGGTGGATAAATAACGAATTATACAGTATCTAGACCAGTGGCCCCAAACCCAGCCCTCATGGATCACCAATAGTCTAGGATGTATTGGATGTATTTTCCTTTTTTTATTCAAATTGAAATTCTGACAAAACCTGGACTGTTGGTGGTCCATGTGGACTGGGTTGGGGACCACTGATCTAGATGACCTGCTAAATATCAGAGTGTAGTTTTGGAGGTCATCTCTTGGAAATAGCACCATACATGCACCTTCAGATGAGCTTTACTTGACTACCTCTGGAGAGCAGTTTTTGGACTCTTGCTTTGAAACATACTATCACAACCTCATAGAGTTACTGGCTAATGCAGAACGAATTAATATGATTTGATAGTGTGGTCTTGATGCTAAAATCAGCTAGGGCCGAATGTCCGCTTCTAGATATTTAATTGTTAAATCTGAAATGGCCTTGATAGACAGACATTTACAAATGTTATGGGATGTAAAACACCTTATAGTACGAGAAGTAATTTCAAGACTTCAACCTGGATTTATCAAGAAGTACATCTAATTGGTGTCAAACCTTGCAGTCTTTTATGCAATTATCACTCAACATTCCCTGCAGCTGGGGTACACCACAGGCACTCAATGTACAACAAGAAGGGAAAACCTTTAATTTGATTGACATTGCAAATGAAAGTACTTTCCTTCGAACCCTAACATCCCATCAGATTCTCCTAAGAATCATATTTTGCAATATCACAAAAAGCATCATCAATTTAATCTGTTTGTCTATACTGTTTTCGCATAATCACACATTTTGTATGAGTTGGGCTATCACTACGTTTTGACATATAGTTTAGTGTACCATATTTAAAAGACTTTGCTGTATACTGTTTATAATGGATTTATATACTGGATCTGACCCATTTGGGTCTGCACCTGCCAGTAGAACTTAAAGGACCACTATAGGCACCCAGACCACTTCAGCTTAATGAAGTGGTCTGGGTGCCAGGTCCAGCTAGGGTTAACCCTTTTTTCTATAAACATAGCAGTTTCAGAGAAACTGCTATGTTTATATTAGGGTTAATCCAGCCTCTAGTGGCTGTCTCATTGACAGTCGCTAGAGGCGCTTGCGTGCTTCTCACTGTGATTTTCACAGTGAGACGACGCCAGCGTCCATAGGAAAGCATTGTGAATGCTTTCCTATGAGACTGGCTGAATGCGCGCGCGGCTCTTGCCACGCATGCACATTCATCCGAGGAGGAAAGGAGGTGGAGAGGAGGAGGAGAGCTCCCCACCAGGCGCTGGAGAAAGAGGTAAGTTTAACCCCTTCCTCACACTAGAGCCCGGCGGGAGGGGGACTATGATGTATGTTTTCCTGGCACTATAGTGGTCCTTTAAGATTTTCTTATAATTAATTGTTAAGAATGTTTGTTTGTCTGGACTAATTAAAGTATGTTTTTATATTAGGGGTTGACTGATATAACTTTTCCAGAGCCGATACCACTACTGATTATCGGTCGCCTTTCAGGCTGATTGCCGATAACTGGTGCCGATATTCTGTGGAGGAAGAGGAGCTGGTGTGCAGGGGTGGCGTAGATGAGCTAGTTTGTAATTTGTGTAGCTGGGAGCTAAAATCCCTGTGTCTAGACAGCGATATTATTCTAATCCATATTGATAACTCATTCTTTCACCCCTCTGCCTTTTGCTCCCCATGAGAGTGGTCAACTCCAGCAGGCAGGGGTGATGTGAGGTCATGCGACGTGGTGCCTCATTGGCTGGCGGCTGGTCTCGGAACCTGGCGTGCCATGACTGGAAGAAGTAAGTACTGCATGTTATCTTAATATCGGTAACTTTGAAGACCGATTCCAATTCTAAAAAAAACGCTGAATATCGTCTCTAATAAGCGGCCAAATCGATAATCAGTTGATCCTTAATGTATATAGCTGCACAAATTGGACTTTTTGACTCCCTCACACACCAAAAAAATGCATCTATTAAAATATAAATTAATTAGCATAGGCGAATGTTAATGTATTAGTTCTCTCACAAGACTTTGTTCAAGATGTAAGTAAGGCACCAAACAGAGCCATTAGGTACCGCACATAATCTTAATCTCCCAGTATAAATAGCAACAGTATATCCTGGCACCTGTGACGTTGGGAGTAGAGGTTGATCTCCTAAACAGGACTCTAAAGAGACTGGTCCAAGGTTCACCACACCTTATATAAACTACAAAAAAAAAAAAAACGTCCACCAAAGGATGACCAGGAGCTGATATTCAGGCCAATGATATAATAAAAAAATGGGGATAAATAAAACTCTAGATATAATACATACAATACTAGTCTAAAATAGGTTAAATAAGAATCCACAACGCATTATCTACAAACGTCCAGAATCTGAAAAAAATTCACACATACAGGATATAAATGTAGCAATCTGGCCTGTGTGCTATATTACCATATAATGTAACCTAGTCAGGCTTGAATGCTCGATAATTTGGTACTCAGTATAAAATACAGGAGTACAATCATTCAACTGTATAACTATTCAGAGTATCCACAAAGTATTAATTTGTCAGTTCTAATGGAATACATTTATCTTTGTGTACCCGAATGGAAAGACAGCTGATCAATGCTTTACTGTATTATAATCAATTTGTTGTTGAAAACATTAAAAACACTAACAGAGTTCCAGAATTGAGGTTGCCTTACAGGGGATTAATTCCCCGGTGTGATAGCTGCAGTTCTCCACTCACTATCTCAGTTCACTCCTCTGCCGGCAATGTGTAATGGGAACTGAAGTTTGAAAATAAGAAGGGAGCATTTGGCAGTGAATGCAGGTTTAGTGTGTGTTCTTGCATTGCACTCTGAGTCCTTCAACCTCGCTCCTTGAATCAAAATCTCTGCTTTATGCTTTTCGGGAGGGATGCTTCATTTCCTCAAAGGCTCTTCTTTAGGCACTGTATAAGCGGGACTTTTAAGCCAATAATTTAAAGTAACATCCTAATATGATAGATCTCACAAGGACCAAATGGATCTATATTACGTAGAAAATGTAAGCTCTTTTGAGCAGGGTCCTCAACACCCACTGTTCCTTTGCACCCAGTTCATCTTGTTGCAATTACATGTTTTTTAGTCCACCTATTGTACGGTACTATCGAATTTGTTGGCGCTTTTTAAATAATAATAAAAGTGTAGTTATAGATGAGACAAAATTACACAAACATAAAAACACTATGACGAAATATAAAATAATTATTTAAAATAAAGAGTGTATGAAAATTAAGTAATTAGAATACCCCTTTTATATATAATGTGAAAAAATAAGTATATTAAAACAAATGCAGCTCAATAACAAACTCAAATCTATGTAATATAACAACTCTATATAATCTATGTATAAAATACCATCACTTGGGAAGAAAAAAAATATTAAACAAAAAATGGAAAAGGGAATTAAATAATTATGGTCATATTTTTTATTTATTTTTTAAATGAGAGCCAAAATATCTACAGCTATAAATCTGGATTAAATTGGGAATCAGTTTTTTCTTTCCATCACTTGGAATGAAAAACAATATAAAACAAAAAATGGAAAAGGGAATTAAATAATTATGATCATAATTTCTTTTTGAAAATGAGAGCCAAAATATCTACAGCTATAAATCTGGATTAAATTGGGAATCAGTAAAATAAAATAAAATGGCACAAAAATAAAAAGTTATATAATACCCGGTGAAGGAACCAATAAAGCCCTTGTATGAAAACACCCTTAATAAAAACCCACTTGGGGATACGGAAGTTAAACAAAAAAGGGGCTGAATGGATCTGATGTGGTGGCTGTTTATAAAAATGCAATAAGTTCAAAGTCCACATTCAATCCATTGGGTACCAATGTTCTAAGACAGTAGATCCACCTGGCTCTATATCTTAATCTCCCACCTCTTAAAGTTACTCGCCACAGCAAGTTTAACGGGTCCATGCTATACTCGACAGTGCTAAATCAATGGCTAAGAGGGTCAGCCAATGGCAAGAGCCCTGTTACAAATATAAACATAAAATTCTTAATCCAGTGGCTGATGCACACATCGGCTTACATTACTGTCATGCATTTGCTTGTAACAAGTCTTTCATTTTTTACATATGGAATGAGAATAAAATGTAAAATGTAAGACCACCCCATCCCAAAACAAACAAACAAAAACAACAACCATTTTCTTATTAATTAAAACATATGCCAAAAAAAACCACATGAGGATTTTTTTATTTATTTTTTTAGAATCTCTGTCATCAAGCCATATGTAAAAAAAATAAAAATAAAAAAAAAGGAGCTCTGTGGAGTTGGGAATTTGTCTTGTGTCTTTGATCTGATGGTGAAGAAAGGACAGTGTGTGAGGCATTTAAAAACTCTGTTGCAGCTATCCTCATTGCATTCCTTGTTGATTTTAAGTCCATGTGAATGACTCGTTCAGAATGATTGGTACTAATGTATAATCTTTCAATCCTATGCATTCATTGCTGCCAACTGTGCAGTGCAAAGGCATAAATTGGTGCTTTGTAAGCTATGGAAAGTAATAATCAAGGTTTTAATGTGTTCGTATAAAAACTTGTATGCCTGTTTCTGAGGTGTCACAATTATTGACCCTGTGTAGGTGGAATTTTCCTGGAAATGATTGACATGCAAGGTAAAAATTATTGAGGTTCTAAATGAGAGATTTGTTGGAAATTATAGAGTAAGAGGTGCTAAATACATTATGACCATGTTTCTGTAAAGTCTGTGTGAACATGTTTTCTATAGCATTGCAATAGCAGTGATATTGCATACACGCTCATGTCTGTGAGGGTCTTAGGATTTATGAGATGATCCTGATAACCGTTTATAAGAGTCCAGCTGTTCTGACGTTTCTCTAATTTTATACAGATTTGTTCCTCTGTCTACTACAGGGAAAGCCAACAGGTAGCCCTCCAGCTGTTAAATAAGAACTCCAGTAATGGTTTGTAAAGCTGTCGACAAGAAAAGTATAGCCCATATTAATGCTTCACTAAGGTGAAATGTAAAGACAATGTGATGGTACCTTTTCAACTAAATGAGAAGGCACCAACATTTAGCATATGGGTACGCTCCTGAAACAAAAGTGATCAATCACTACTGTATACCTCTCTCCACTGCTCAGAGGAAGGGTGGTCAACTGGATGGGAAGACTTGCCAGTGCAGTGGGATTAAGCATATGGTTTTTTGCTGGATCGGAGGCTAGGCACCTGCCTCTCTATCTCAAATAGTGTGTCACTTGGACAAGCACTTGCCCGTTGTTTCTGAGATTGGAGGAGTGATGGATTAAGAAGACTGTAACCTTTTTGTAAATAGTTATTACACTTCAAACATTATGCGTTCTATTAAACTTCACAGATAAAGTAGAACTGGCCTACCACCATTCATCCTTTGGAAAAATAAGTTCAACTATATATATATATATAAGTATGATGTCGGAGGAGGGACTTCGGGGCTGGATCTGGGTGAGTAAATAAAGGTTTTTTTTAACCCTTTTCCACCGGGTGGGGGTGCCATTACCAAGGCATGCAGACTTTTACAAACTATATGTCAGAAATTACTCATGGAAGTAGGATATTTGTGAATTATGGTTAAAGGTTACTGCAACCAAAA